TGTAAGTAGTCAGTGACTCACTTGCCATCCTGCTGTCTGTTTGTTGTGAATGAGTATTTTAAAGTTGCTTAAGGAATCACCAGGAAAGGTTCTGGCAAAACCAGGTTTGATGTAATCTAAATTTAATATAAAACAGCACGACAAAGTTCATTGGCGACGTTCACTCTGCTACTTACCAGGTGGTTAAAGGACACCGAGACAAAGCAAACAAAAATTCAAAATCAATCAATCCATACCAAAATAACCCCCAAAACTATCTACGTGGAGCCTAGGAGTAGGGAGAAAATTATAGAAAAGGGTAAGGATGAAAAGGAATGTGGAGGGTCCTGCTGTTGAGTTACAAGATGTAAAGTAGACCCCTGTGGTCCAGGAGAGCTCAAAGGGTCTCACTTTGGACCACTGTTTATAGGACCAACAGAAAATGGGCTTTAGTCATGGGAATTTTCCAGCCTAGCCCCAATTCAGGTCGCTATCCTTCTTTGGAAGTTTGATAACAAAAATATTATTCCATTTCAGTTTTTATTGAGGCAAGAAAAAAATGTTTCCAGGTTTCATTCCACCCTTTGCCACAGGCAGGGACACCTGCCACTAGGCCAGGTTGCTCCAAGCCTTGTCCAACCTGTCTTTGAACACTTCCAGGGATGCAGGGGCAGCCACAGCTTCTCTGGACAACCTGTGCCAGAGCCTCCCCACCCTCACAGGGAAGGATTTCTTCCCAATATCCAGTGTAACCTACTCTCTTTCAGTTTAAATCTACTATGATGCAGTGGGTTACCTTGGCTCTGTGCTCCAGCCCCCTCTTGCAGCACCAGCTGCTGCCTGTGTGGCTTCCCAAGCCCTTGCAGGGAACTGTTGGTGGCCTTGGGGTCTAACGAAGTTTCTGGACTGAGCCCTGTGGAGCTGGCTGGGACAGTGGGCAGGGCCATCTTTGGGATGGGCAGTGTTGGGAGGCTCGAGTTTCCTGAGAGTGGAGGGGTTCATTTTCTCCACCACACACTGGCAGGCACCGAGTTGGCTGGTTCCCTCCTGGGGCTGCCACGCTCCCAGCTGGGGAGGCTGGAAACATTTCACTCCTCACACTCATCTCTCTCCTCAGAGGTGGACCAGCAGCATCAACCAGGCCAGCAAGACGTCCCTGCTCGCCTGGGAGAGGGAGACGGGCATCGAGCTGGTGCAGATCAACGGGCAGAGGCGCTACGGGGGGCCCCCCCCAGGTACGTGATGGGGGCAGCTGGCGCCCCGTGGGCACGGCAGCTCCGCTCACGGGGGACCCCCCGGCTGTGCTGTGTGCCCGCAGGCTGGGTGGGTGCCCCGCCGCCCGCCGGCACCGAGGTGTTCATCGGGAAGCTGCCGCAGGACCTGTACGAGGACGTCCTGATCCCGCTCTTCCAGAGCGTGGGGAAGCTCTATGAGTTCCGCCTCATGATGACCTTCAGCGGGCTCAACCGGGGCTTCGCCTACGCCCGCTACAGCAGCCAGCGCGGTGCCAGGGACGCCATCGCCACCTTCAACAACTACCAGGTGCGCCGGGGCTGCGCCATCGTGGTGTGCCGGAGCACGCAGAAGCGCGAGCTGAGCGTGGACGGCCTGGCCGCCTCGGTGAGCCGGCAGGAGCTGGAGGCCACGCTGCAGAGGGCCACCCAGGGCATCCTCAGCGTCACCCTGCACGCCAGCCCCCACCAGGGACAGGCCAAGCTCGCGGTGCTCAAGTACAGCTCGCACCAGGCCGCCGCCCTGGCCAAGAAAACCCTGATGGAAGGTGAGTGGTGCCCCTGCTGGGGATGGGCTTCCTGGTGTCCCTAAGGAAGGGTTGACCCCGCCTCCGGGCTTGGCTGCCTGGTGACTTCAGCCCTGAGCCACCCCTTGTGCCCTGTGGGATGCCAGCTGCTCTCGGTGTGGTTTATCCCTTGGATCCACAAGTCCTAGTGGTGGTGGGATGAAGAGGTTGCTGGAGGTCTTCAGAAAGTTGCCTGCTCAGCAGGAAGATCACCAGTGCCATTCCAGGGCATCCAGAGTGTTGACCAAGTTATTAAACCCTCCCAGTGGAGCTACCCTATCCCTCAGTGCCCCTTAAACCCTCCTGATGGAGCTGCCCTACCCTTCAGCATCCCTTAAACCCTTCTGATGGAGCTGTCCTACCCTTCAGTGTCCCTTAAACCCTTGTGATGGAGCTGCCCTACCCCTCCCATGATTGCACTGGGACACTTTTCCCAGCTGGGACCTCGGACCTCCAAAGTCCTGTCTTGTACCCATTTGTGCCCCAGCTGAGAAGCATTTGGCTTTGGCATCTTGTACCTCGTCCCTAAAGCCAGGCTGCCCCTAAAATCCTGGTGATCACTGCAGTGGATGCTGGAGGGCAGGTGAGCATGTCCTGTCTCTCGCAGGGAACCTGAGGCTCAGGGGATCAGGGATAAAGGTGGAGTGGCTGCACTCTGACCTGA